ATCGCGTTTATTTATACACCACAGAGACATCCTTGGGAGAGTCACAAAATAGCACACTAAAATAACACATCAACCAATCACAGCCAAGGATTCTCCTGGTGGAAAATGTGATCAGCCCATGAAATAAATCCAAAATAAAGATATTTATCAAGCGAGTTCTGGGGATCTAACATCCCCAACAGTATTATGGCGCAGTTCGGTGCTTTTTGCAGTGTGTGTCCTATCCACTTCCACCGCTTCTTCCTGATTTCCTCTTCCGCTGGAATCTGGTTTGTCCTCTCCCACAGTAGGTTGTTGGCAATGGTGTCTGGCCAGCGTATCCTCAGTATTTTGCGTAGACAACTGTTAATCAATACTTGTATATTCTGGATCATGGCTTTTGTAGTTATTCGAATTTCCGCTGCTTACAGTTCAACTGTATGGGGCGGAAAGTATATGGGTATCGTATCTAGCTATCTCAAACTATTTAACTTAACGTTATTGATATCATTGTTCTATTTGACTAATAATTTCGTTCATTGTAATATAGAATATATTTATATGATCAACTTATTCAGTGTATTTTGTGTAAATGAAATTAACTACAAACTGATCACCAACAGTGTGTCTGGTTTATCTTATTGTAAGGTTTGAAAATAGATGGTCAGCTGTTTTATTTTTGTCATGATTGATATAAATTTAACTATTCCAGTTGAATTATTTTTCTGGTTAGTATCCAACTACGTCACAAAACAAGCCCTCACCTGGAATTCTCAAGGCTGAATGGAAAAGAGGAAGGCCAAGGAACACATTACACCTTAAAATGGAGACACATATGAGAAGACTGAACAACAGCTGGACAAAAAAGGGAAAAGGAGGCTGAGGACAGAATAGTTTAGAGAATACTGGTTGGCGGCCTATGCTCCATCTGGGGTAACAGGTGTAAGTAAATAAATTCCAATTGAAAGAGTCTAATAAGTAGTATTGTTGGAAAAAGGGAAAAATTTAACCTATGCAAATAAATGAAAATATAACCATGTAAATTTGTGAAAGAAACAAACAGATGAATTCAAATGAACACAAATCAATTTAACAACAACGACGATTGTTATCCCACATACCTAATGGCTTATTGTCTAGTTAGAAAGTAGGAATATTAAATAATTACTTTGGATGACGTGGGAATGAACTATTTGATAGAAATATTCCAACTACTTAGCTACATAACTCGTAATTTGATGCACATAAATTTATATCACATTGGATGTCTAATCAGGCCACATTCTACCAAGTTTATAGATATGGTGAACAAGGACTTATTTCACTGAAATGCTAGTGACAAGTGAAGTCTTTATTGCGTGACACCATCTTAAGAAGCTTACTCACTTACACCTGTTACCCCCAATGAAGCATAGGCCGCTTACTAGCGTTCTCTAGCATACTCTGTCCTCAGCCTTGCTTTCTAGTCCTGTCCAATCGTCGTCCATTCTTCTCATCTCTGTTTCCATTTCTCGGCATGATGTGTTTTTCGAAATTCCTCTTTTTCTTGGGGGTTCCAAGTGTGGGCTTGTCTTGTGCTGCATGTTAAGAAGCAGTGCTTGTGTAATTTAATCATCTAGTTGCATTCATCAATCACAGGCGATTAGTTTTATGATGTCATAATTGTGTTCATATAGTAAGTTATCGATTGAATAATTTCATATACTATCCATTTTAATTAATATCATATATAATTAATACAACTATTAATCAGTCTGCATAACTGATCTAAAAGTTAATAATGTATTCAGAAATCATTTTCAACTAATTTTTATGTCACACAAATCTTCATCTGTCATTCTCCAACTTTTAATTATGTCATTCAATCCATAGGTTTCTTATTCAAGTACAAACATGTTCTGCAGATACCATAGTTATTCATTGAAAAATTGAGCATAAATCATATTTTCTATGATTTATCATGAAAGTTGGTAAAAATTAACGCTACTAACCCGTTAAGATCTTAAACGAGAGTGTAGTAATTTTTCAACCAAATCAAATAAGTCGATTGATTGATTGATTAGTTTACAGAATTACAGAAAATGTAATATAAACGAAATCTACTGATATGTTACGGTTATTATTATATCATTCAAATGTGTATAAAATATTGTAATCAAGAAAACGGTAGCTGTTTCAACTTTATACTTCGTATTTATTGGTAAATATAAGGTTGAATGCATTGTTGTCGTATTCACTCGATTCTATTCAGTATTAACCAAATAACTTATTATCAGACAAATTCCAATAATGTAAATATCTATTTGAGTTACTGTTCTGAAATCTTTATTATATAGGGTTTTGGAGATTTTTGAATTCCAGCGAAATCTTGCATCGATCATTGTTAAACAATCATCAGAAACCTGGAAGATCTGAATGTTTTTTTTGTCCAGGTATGGAACTCATAAGAAATGCGCGTACACAACCTCCGCTCACGGGGGACGAGCCCAGGACCTTCTATCTGTCGCACGAACGCCTAATCTGGAGATCACTGAGTTAACATCTAACTTCATTCAGTCTACGAAATTGTCTTCGGTAGGTAATCGCCTGACACCTGATACGGTTAAACTCCACTGGTCATGACTTTATGAAATTCATTGCGTAACATTTTCCTTCATTAGAACAAGGCAGATATAAACGAAAAATATTGTTGTTTTCAGTTAGATCACCATCAGGCTTTACTCTAATATACATGAATATTTATATCAAACCAATCACGGCAATTTGAGTCAATAATTACAATGAAATAGATTGCGCCACTACATATAATGGGGAAAAGTACAAGTTCATAATAAGAAGACAGGTATATTGATAGTAGTAAGAATAATAAAATACAATATCAAAAGTTTTATCAATAGTTCAACATCTGAAATGATAGGTCAAACGTGGATAAATAGACTTAGAATAATCATTACAAAACATCAGAAGTAAGTAAATAATCAGATAGTGAAGAATACAAACGGAAAGAGGCAGAAAATTATAGCATTGCGGCGTTGTTGTGAAGATTGTTAAGTTTTATTTGTAAGCATGAATCGACCACCATTAGAGACCTGGAAGCACCGGACGACCGTTTCGTCCTGGTATGGGACTCATCAGCAGTGCGCATCCACGACTCCTGCACCCCGCAGGATTCGAACCCGGGTCCTTCGGTATAGTGCGCGAACGCCCTAACATGTGCTCACTAGTGATTAGCTTGGTGAGGAATCTTCTCCGAGTTCTAGTGGGAAGACGTGACCAGTGAAGTTCAAACCTGTTCGGATGTATACAGTGTATGAGGTTGCGCAACTCCGTGAATTCGATCAAGTTAGACATTAACACCGTTAGATACCGTCTCAGTGGTCTGACGGTTAGGGCGTTCGCGCACAATACCGAAGGTCCTGGGTTCGAATCCTGCGGCGTGCAGCAGTCGTGGATACGCACTGCTGATGAGTCCCATACCAGGACGGAACGGCCGTCCGGTGCTTCCAGGTTTCTAATGGTAGTTTAACATTGATCGATTCATGGTTACAAATAAAAATTATAGGATGTGAAAACGATTCTAATGGTAACAAAAATACAAAAATTTCTTAAACGTTAGCTAAGTTATATGGGGTGAAGGAAGGGACAACGGTGTCACGAATTTATTCTGAACACATAAATTGGGGTTGAATGTAGGAATTCCTATGGATTTTTATATATCTAGGAGGCGGGATCGAACTCTGTTGGGAAATGATGGTGTGGTGGCCGTTTTACTACTTGTTCTAAAGCTTGGTAATTAGCTCGTCTAGACAATCGTTACAAAGTAGCGTCTGACGGTTATAAAGCAGAAGGTGAACACAAAGCGCTGAATATGTTTATTTTTGACACACCACAAACAGAACGGCAGACTACAAGCGCTATAAGATAAAACCGTTATGCGAGCTCCGGGAAGCAGGCGAGCGAGTGAATAGGGGAATGAACAGATGAAGCGATGTGCAGAAGGCTAATGAGCCAAATCCCAGAGATAGAGCATGGATAAGAATTTATAGTCAGACAAAAAATAAGACAGACATGTGATCAACGAGATAGGCATGCACACATAAATAAAAGCGACGAATGGTTGACAGGGTCAAACGACAAGTGGGACACGTCATGTGAGCTCATACATACCAGACAATAATAAGAACGAATGCTACATATAAGTTGTTGCTACGCAAATGGTTTGGTCAAATAAATCAATCGAAAGGGCTTAACGAAATTAGATATAAGCGAACTCGAATATATGTGGAGGCGCTACGATGGAATGATCGAAACGATCCAAATTTATCTACAATTTGACCACTATCAAACAGATGTGACAAGATAGAACTGATTATTGTTTTTATCTGTTCCTTCATAAATTAGGCTGGGAGATGTTCACTTATTCTTTGGTTAAGCTGCCTAGTACTGCGCTCTACCAAGAATTTATTTTTTAAACTGTGTAACTGCTTACATATATATATATATTTCACAATAAACTATCATTTTCACAGTTCACTTAATTAATCTGATAAGTTTGAACTACAACAAATAAAAGGGTCATATTATTAGATGATTTAATAAACTGTAGTAGTAGTAGTTTGAAGTTTGAATATCATTCATTCACGAATAGTAATGCAATAATTATTTCAACCAATCAAATCACTTCAAACTCTACAATCACTTTTATTTGTAAATTTAAAATTGACCAATTACAATTGAGCAAAATGAAGTATACATAATTTATTTGAAATAATCAGGAAAATAGAAAAATATAGATAAGCGAATAACAAATGAATAGAAAATTTCAAATGGTTATTATATTTGGAAAGAAATAAAAATTATATTTTTACTTTAAATTTATTTATTTATATTTTTTTTTGCTATCAAGAATAAATTACTACCATAAATAAACATGTTAAAATAACGCTTAATTTAATTTTTATATTATCCTATCATGAAGTGAGAATTTCAAATGATTAAATCATTTTTAGAATATAAAAATAATGAAACCATTTAATGATAATAATAATAATAATAATAATAATTTAAAACGTAGTTGTGAATTACTTAAAATTGATAATGAACTTGAATTTCCACAAAATGTTACTACTACATTACCACCACAACGAATCATTGACGAAGTAAATATACCAAGTAATAATGAGGATTTACTAAGAAACACTGTTAAATTAACTACAATTTCCAGTGAAGATATTCATAGACAATCTAGTGTACATTCTGATCAAACAACATTACATGTTACACAATATTTACATCCTACTAATGCTTTATCACAAACAGCTTCAGCTTTTTCAAGTTATTTAAGAATTCCACCAATTAATGAACAAATGAATGAATCAACAATATCAACAACACATTCAGCTGATTGGTCAACAAAACCATTGCATCGATCAAGTTGTTTTATTTGTAATACACCACAAAGTTTCAGTGAAGAAGAACAAAAATTCACTGAAGCTACAGTACGTGCTGTATTAGCTGCTAGTGCTAGACAATCACGTACTGCGTTAACTGATTTACCATTGGAATTTTTTACAAATTATTCTAATTTATCTAATATTGATAGTAAATTGAATTCATTATCAGTTCAACAATTGTCAAATAGAAATCTATCCAATGAGAATACATTCAATAATGTCAATCGATTAAATTTACCGTCATCCTCCACAGCATCATCATCGAAATTTTATGATGATTTTAGAGAACATCGAACTAATCGTAAACTTAGTGCATTATGTGTGCATAGTTTTGATGATACAATACATGATAGTGTATTATTAGTGAATAAAAGAGATAAATCGCCAATTCCGCGTACCATATTACATCATTCAAACAATCATCTATTGAATAGTACAAATAATCTAACACATGATACACAATCAACTCATGTAACATCAACATCATCAAATAAAAATACAATAACAACAAGTAGTGTAAAACAAAATCCAAAATCTTTAAAAAATTTAGCTAGACAAACATCACATTCAATTAATCGACCATTGAAACGTTTAGCTGCAAGTTTTCGTCTAACAAAACCTATTGGACATTCAGCATCAGTAAATTATAAACAACAACAACACCAACAACAACAACATGCACGTAGTAATTTCATTTCAAAATCTGGTGATATCACTAGTACAAGTTGGAATTCCATTGAAAATTGTCATGATTCTGTACAAACTACCTCAAATAATATTGATAATAATAATAATAATAATAATGAGATTAATAATGGGAAAACTATTAGAACACGTAATGTCATACTACAAACCGATCAAGATTTTCTCAATGAAATTAAACGTGAAAAAGGTTTACGTAAAGGACATTTATTACTGAATGAGAATAATCTAACTACTACTACTACTGCTGCTACTACTACTACTAGTAGTGATAAACATGATTTAAGTGATTCGACTGATCATGAAACTGACAGTCTGTTAAGTCAAGATGATAAACCAAGTGGATCATTTCATTTGAAAGAACAATTTTTTGCATTTTTTCAACCTACCGGTAATAAATTAGCCATGAAATTATTTGGTACAAAATTAGCGTTAGATAGAGAAAGATTAAGACAAGAACAACAAGGTGATTGGATTATACATCCATGTAGTAATTTTAGGTAAGTTTGAATATATATATACACATGAAATTTTGCAAGTGGTACATGAGCTCTTTAGGTAAACGATGTTCAGTGTTTGTTTGACAGTTTTTTTTTAAAATTTTGTGTAAATCATTGAACAATGAAAGCTTCACAACGAAAACATCTAGCTTAGAGAATGAAACTCCACTGTGATCATTCACATGCGGTAGAAATTTTCTTCACTATCGGTGAGTTTTAGGACGTGCGCAAGTGGAATTTAATTTTTCTCAGAGTTTAAGCAGATAATTTTATTTTTAAACTTACTAGTAGCATAGAATTTGATCGGGAAGAAAATTAAACATTTCAATTATTGTATGAAGCTATCAATTTGTTCTACTATTTTTGTGCTAATTATGTTTTAGTGACTGGTCATTCAGAAATTGTAAATGCCTAACGCGATTTAATTAGGAACTCTACTTTGCTTCGGGAATTGCGTATGCATGGTTCAATTCTGTTTCATAGATTTTATTTAAAACTCCTCAAGATTACGTACTGACATACTTACACACCTGTTACACCTAATAGAGCATAGTCCACTGACCAGCATTTCTTGAGATTACAAAACTGACATCTCAAACATAAACGATACTACTATTTGAAGGCTGTTGAACTAAGTGATACAATTAATCGTTCTTGTAGCAAAATCCTAAGTTTCTAGAATTAATCTTGTACAAATTTGTAGGTTTTATTCCATAAAAATTCCTGATTTTGGGCGAAACAGACAACGCAAGTAAACAGGATTCAGTTCAAAGAGAGATATGTTTAAACAGGATTCATTACGTTGACTTCAGCTTACAGCATACAACTCAAATGAGTTATTTACTTGTTAAAACACTGAACATATTAAATATTTCAGAACTTATTTACTTGCTTACTTACTTACTTACATACACCTATCAACCCCCTAATGGAGCATAGGCCACTGACCAGCATTCTCCAAATTACTCTGTCCTGAGCCCCTTCCTTTCCAGTTGTGTTCAGTTTTTGTAGGACTTCAGAAGAATTCGTTAAATTAAACTAACAGTGATTTTTTCAGTTAATTTCACATTTATTGATTATTTCATTAATAGTGATCATTTTAAAACTCACGCTTTTAGTATAATATCCAATATTATCGCATAAGAAATAAATTTTCTGATAATTATGTCAATTCTATTAGATTTCTTTTCTCTATTTACTTATCGTGTATACGTGAATTATCTTTAAGAATTTGCTGAATAAGTATTCTAAAAAGAATATAATGTTTACTAATATTTTTATTTTAAAAAGTCAGTTGAATGTGTGATTGGATTAATGAGAATCCTTCAGTTATTCTGTTGTTTATATATCGACAAGAAGTTGCCCACTATGTCGAAATATCGACTTTGTAATAAGTTTAATAGAAAAGTTCTAAATATGATGATGATGAAGATATGGGCATCCAGGATG